CTACGATAATGGTGTAGCTTCGTACATTGACGGCGGGAATAATTCGAGCCTGTCATTCATAGTCGCCTCCAGCAGGCAGTTGGTCGATACTGACACACAGGCTACGGCCGTGCATCGTTATACAAGACTAAGTTATTGTCTTGTACAGACGCTCCATTCTGTGTTATAGATACCATACAATGTGAAGGGCAACACAAATTAATAGTCTTTGTAAATCGTGTGTTTCCGCCTCTGAAGATAAAATAAGTATAGTAATTTGTCTTTTATAATTAAAAACACAGCATATTCGTGAGGTGTTCATCCAGTATGACAGGCGCGAGTCTCGCCATCACATTATATCGCTCAACGTTGGGCTCCATGAAAAAAGTATAGTGGTGAAAGTGTAAGGACATTCTAAATAAACAATAATATTGTTTTTGTCACTAGTGGCGCCGTTTTTTCACATGCATCTACTGCGTCATTAATGAGCAATTCTGCCATCATATCGCTCTTTTTACTCAATAAATTAAAGCAGCACCACTTTCTGTCTCATTGCGAGCACATGCATGAAATATAATTTCGAGAAGACACGCATGCACAATTTGCCAAAGTGAGTTTTGAGTTGATTTTCATCTCGTAAGAAGTAAGCGAAATCAATACAGCCGTTTAAATAAATTTAAGTGGAGTATGATTGAACATGGTCGCCTCCCGACTGGTCTGGTCCGGTCGCTTACTCCGGGTTCCGAGGTCGGAGCCGCTTTGTCCGCCTATTACCCGCGAGCGCTGTCGTTCCCGCCCTGGAATTACCAGTCACCCCTTCATTATTATTGAAAGATGGCTGCGGACTGGTCTCCATCATTTTCAAATCATTGATCATTAATTCCGTATCTTTTGAAGCGATAGCCTAAATTCAGATTTTAATAGATTTTTTGCACGAAATTTGGTTAAGAAATTATGTCAATGTCAATGTGCTACCCCGATTAATTTGGTACAACCATATCTGCATATTCAAGTTCTGGGTATATTCGTTTGCGCTAACAAAGGATTTAGGTCACGGTGCTTTAGACGTATGTATATCTCCGTTTGTCAGACATGTGTACACATACGTATCCGTATTAAGTTAATTCATTGATAGAGAACTCTTAATCTTTCACTACATCCGTTTATACGGATGTCATACAACTACTTACAAAAGTCTTAATTATTAGACAATTAAACATTTTATTTCACAGTCTTACCCGTTTCTGTATTATTTTATTGTAATTTGTACGAATATATACCAGAAATCGTAAAATGAATATTATTGTGATCCTCAATATTTCAACTTTAACTGTTAAGCAATGACGGAATATCATTCAACGAGCGCACGGAATTATTTTCAGTAAAACGTTCAGACACGAGCAATACTACATAACATTGGTTATAATTCCATGTTTTCAAAGATTGCAGAGATGCAGAGAAAGCACAGAAAACCCCTTTGTTGAAATCAGAAGAGGAAAAAATATTGTTCTCATGGTTGATCAAGCCATAGCTTATTTTGTTACAAAAACATACGTGATATTAATGCCCCCAACGAATTTCCCGATTAATTATATGAAAAACTTGAGTTAATTTAGAACCCGTAAGAAGTGCTAAATAGAAACTCATAAATGTGTCTAAATTTCCATAGCTTTCACTTGCGTACCATTTCTTCACACTGCAACCCCTGCCTATAGGGTAACGCGCTCGCCACCAATACTATCCCGGGAACAAAGTAGATTCATTCGAATCATTATCGTCTTCCGAGGTTTTATAGCATTCGGAGCGACATCGGAGAATATTTCCGAGTTTGTCCGAACACAATGCTGACCAGGAGACGAAGGGCGCTAATCAATCGGAGCTAAAGCTGAGAGTTCCGCTTTAACAAGTTGAAGAATTTTGCTAGTATAAAATGGAACTATCCATAAGATTGTTTTTCAGCGAATGGCGATGACTGTCAGGATTTCACTGCGGGTTTTTCTTCCCCCGCCATTTTTTCCTGCCTATTATGAGCCCGACGTGAGGATATTCAAGATAATGCCAATGCATGACTTGCTGCAAATTAAAATTTCGTTCCCCGTGGGCATTTTACTCTCTAATTCAAAGAAAAAGACCCGGCGAGCGCATGCGAAGCCTAAGCAGTTGCGATCAATCTAACATTTACAAAATGTCCGCGAAGAGGATATTTCACCGATACCGAGAAATAAATCCGCTAATTCGAGAATTCTGATTCCGATAGCAGAGAAAATTTCAAAATTGACATTGATAATGTTCAGCCGTCGTTGAACGATGAAGCGCAATAGTCATCGCACGTCGCGTACGACTTGCAATCGTGATGTGCTGGTGTTAGAAGAATGGCGTTTCGTTGACGCGTAGAGCTTCGTTACATGCTCTCCCATCTAACTTGGGGATATTACCGTCGACTCTGCACCCTGGCCGAGTGTTAATATCGATATGACAACCCCCCCGTCTCGAAATCCTCTACACGTCATAGCGACGAGCAAACATTATGTCCACTTGCTGTCTGCGCATGACAGCGGCTAAATGGTTGTAACAAAATACCGATTCTTAAAAAAACGTAAAACGGTTTATTGAACATTATCAAATTGAATTTTTCAAAGCTGATTTTTAAAAAATTCAAATCATTGGTTAACATGTGAACGTTTACATTGAACTGCCGCATGCTACTTGAAACACTCCTACACACACTATACTAATGTTATTTGTATTAATTATCCATTAGTGCTTCTCGTCGATCTCGTGATATGAAATATTGCCAAAGGTGGCTTCAAACAACACTCAGTCACTGTATTAATTATCCAAGCCCATTTCATTCTAAATGATGGCATCGTACAAGAAAATCAGTTCAATAAAAATCAGCGTAAACAACATATCAAATTCAGAGGTTATGTTAAGCAAAGTTACGCCAATGAAACAAGGGGTTAACCAGTTTGTCCTTTTAAAACATGCAGAATATTCATCGAATTGTAGATTTTATTTCGATGTTGTTACATATTTGTTGTAACGGTAATGTTAAAAGCACGTGCAGCGGTTTATGACTACACAAAACACGTCATGAATAAATAATCGACTCGGGGGATCATTGTTATTGTAACAGTAATTCTCTCGTGTTGATGGAGTCCTCAAGATCCCCACCCCCCATCCCCCAATATATATATTTACACTGAAGAGCTGTCATGAGACAGCGAAAGTACTATGTATGAAACTGATATAAAGAAGATGATGGACTAACGTGGACTTTATTATTTTATTATATATTACATGTACACCGAGTGAACATTTACCTCATTTTTGTATATATATATATATATGTATATATGTGTGTGTGTGTGTATATATATATATATATATATATATATATATATATATATATATATATATATATATATATATAAATAAATAAATTTTAAAAAATGGAATTACCAAATAATAATACCAGGTCAACATTTATAATATTCTTCTATATTTATTTCTAAAAAATGGAAGTTCTAATATTAATAACGCATACTTCCGAAATATTTTCATCACAATATTTAATACAATATTAACTCAGCATGAACGAGAAGAACCACCAATTCGGAGAAATCCGAAACGTTTATAGGTCCAAATTGAATACTAAGTCCATAAGATCAGGCGTGGTTAAGTCCATAATAACATGTTGTACAAATAATGGTAATGGTCAAGTACAGTAGTCATTGTGTGCTATAGGGGTGCCCGCACTATATACAAAGGTGGTCACACCGAGAGTCTCTGCCTTCTCGTGTCGCCATTATATCAAATAGACCCGGAATCAGTGAAAACGTATAATCGCTCCCACTATCTTGGACTGCGGCGAATGATTACTGAAAATGCGATGTTAATCCGGTCCCGCACAATACTCGGATCCAGTGTATTTGGCTCGTCGCTCACGGTATTCACACAATGGATCCCAGTCCTATCAGAGTTAAGGAGTAATTCTAGAAAGCATTCGACTGATCCAGTCCCGTGTACTGTACAGCCGTTCATTGTTGCGCTAACCCACCGGAGGAGCGTAACGGCCTGCTAAACCCAGTCTTCAATCACACAAATGGGCAACTCTTCAACTGAACACTTTCTGCTCAGCTGCCCCCTGAGGTATTATGATCATAGATTAGATGTTATTATCTGGACATACTGCGTGTCATTGTTTGGTGGTACACTAATTATCCTTTTACTAAAGGCATGTGTTGTTTGTCGGTTTGTTTGCTTGTAACCCTTTTGTTTTTGGTTGTCGCGATATTTCACTCGACACATGATTTCTTTGGTTTGTATTGTTTGTTGTTTAAGGCTCCATTCAGCAATATTCCAGCTCTATGACGGCGGTTTGTAAATAATCGAGTCTGGACCAGATAATCCAGTGATTGACATCATGAGCATCGATCGACACAATTGGGATACGACAACATCCATCAACAAGTCAGCGAGTCTGACCAACCGATCCCGTTAGTCGCCTCTCACGACAAGCATAGTTGCTTTTTACAACAAGTATGGGTTGATGAAGACCTATTCTACCCCGGAGCTTCACTGAACACTCGACAAATGAAATATCCTCTATTTATTATATTCGTATTACATAATTATGAATTGTAATTTTCGATTTGGGTTTGTGGATACCCATGCTCACACGCACGCACATTAACAAGCAATCAGTGCTTTGTATATAAGAAAGACCAGCTGCCCGAACTAATACAAATACTCACCCTGCATCCTTTATCCTTCACAACGCTCCATACATCCTTCATAATTCTCCCTGCACCCTTCCTAATGCCCCCTACATCCTTCACAACGCTCCGTACATCCTTCATAACGATCCCTGCATAATTTATAACTTCCCCTGTACCTTTCATCATTTATTCCACTCCCAGCATCCACCATCCTTCCTCATGCTCCCTGCATAACTCTCCCTGCATCTTTTATAACTCTCCCTGCATCCTTCGTAAATCGCCGTACATCCCTCATTCTTCCTAACGCTCCCTACATCCTTCATAACTTCCACTGCACCCTTCATCCTCCAGAACGCCCCCTGTATCCTTCATCTTCTTAATGCCCCCTACATCCTTCACAACGCTCCCTACATCCTTCACAACGCTCCCTACATCCTCCACAACGCACCCTACATCCTTCACAACGCACCCTACATCCTTCACAACGCTCCCTACATCCTCCACAACGCACCCTACATCCTCCACAACGCACCCTACATCCTTCACAACGCTCCCTACATCCTCCACAACGCTCCCTACATCCTCCACAACGCACCCTACATCCTCCACAACGCACCCTACATCCTCCACAACGCTCCCTACATCCTCCACAACGCACCCTACATCCTTCACAACGCACCCTACATCCTCCACAACGCTCCCTACATCCTTCACAACGCTCCCTACATCCTCCACAACGCTCCCTACATCCTTCACAACGCTCCCTACATCCTCCACAACGCTCCCTACATCCTTCACAACGCTCCCTACATCCTTCACAACGCTCCCTACATCCTTCACAACGCTCCCTACATCCTCCACAACGCTCCCTACATCCTTCACAACGCTCCCTACATCCTCCACAACGCTCCCTACATCCTCCACAACGCACCCTGCATCCTTCCTTACGCTCCCTGCATGCCTCATAACTCTCCCTGCACCCTCCACAACGCTCCCTACATCCTCCACAACGCTCCCTACATCCTCCACAACGCTCCCTACATCCTCCACAACGCTCCCTACATCCTCCACAACGCACCCTGCATCCTTCCTTACGCTCCCTGCATGCCTCATAACTCTCCCTGCACCCTTCGAAAATCTTTTTGCATCCCTCACCCTTTACAACGTTGCCTGCATCCCTCATCCTCCATAAAAACGCCTTTGCGTCCTTCACAATGCCCCCTCCATCCTTCACAACGCTCTCTACATCCTTCAAAACACCCCTCCACCCCTCATCCTGCACCCCGCCAATGAACCTGGTATGGGTGTGGAGTTGACATGTCACTGCTGTCCTGATGAAGAAGAAGAGTACAAACGTCCCATACAACATACTGCTGGAGTGACCCAGCATACCATAAACAGAGCCAAATCATCGGAAACCATGTCACAAGATATTTCTGTAGCCCCTCTATAGAAGGGCACGCGCCTGTATTTTCTCCTAATTTCTGCTACATGACAAAGATCCACACTCGTTTGTCAAAATTCTACCAAACACTTCGCCAAGCTGATCGATTTAGAATGCCGGTGTCTCCCATCTTCTAAGATACAATTTGTGTTTTTCTAACTTGCCTTTTACAGATTGTTGGCGTGCAAATCAAAGCGATAAAATCACAAGTGACCGGGAACATATGGCAGGTCTATTCATAGATTTAATCTTTCTTAAGACGTTCATGTTATTTTGTATATTATTAATATAAAAGTAACGTTTACCATAGCGATTCGTCATTCTTTTCTTGTGACATATGTTTGCTTTGAGCGGCGTTCATATCCCTCACAACGCCGTCCGAATCAATACTGGGCCAACAATATAGACAATAGATACTCCCAACATCAAACACAATTAAGGACATCAAAGCAATGACAACACAAGAAGTGCCAAAAGTGACATCGAGTTGTATATCGTCTGAAACTTCAGTTTCGTTGACAACACGATTTATAGAATGTCTATTATAGCAGGATCACGATTTTGTAAATGTACTTATCAGGTACCTTATAAACTATACTCTCTTGGGTAGTTTAAAGTTCGGGTGTGAGGACCCGGGGTCTCTTAAGCCGTCTCTGGTATAACCCAGCCCAAATCAATGTTAATCACGTCAGACCGCTTAGCGGAACACGTTCCTGGATTAGGTGATCTTGTACTGCGTTTAAGGAATCGATGTTATTTTTTTCGGACATAATGGAAATATCTGTAACCGGCGCCGTATGGGTGATTTAATGGGTCTTTACTAAATCATAAATGTCATTATTAACGACAAGCGTTTTATTGAATGGTTTAGAACATGATGTCTATGTCGTTTTAACTGGCGTGTCAAGTCGGGCACCGGGCCACCATCTTGGATGTGTAAGTACAACATCAGTAGGGTGTGATGTTCCAACACGGTGTGGTGAGTGACACTCACTGGTTGAGCAATGGGTTAACTTGATCAATGGCTATGATTGATGGATCTCGTGTTCCCGAGATTCTCCTTGAGAAAGGGAGAAACCCGATTCTACTTCTTGATCCGAACAAACCAGAAAAGGAACCCTAAAAATCAATGGGTTCCCTCTGGTAATCATGGCACTGTAATTGCCGAGGTAAAACCTACACCTTCGACGACTACACACACACTGCACGGGCGCCTCGTAAGCCCGAGGGACGACGTGCACGATGACTGCAACGCCCGAGGCTACTGGCGTTGAGGTGAGATCAATGGCCGACCTAGGCTAGGACTCCGGACAATAGGGTGTTGTTAGCGCCAGAGAAAACCCCCACAAGAACAACTTACAAGTCGATAGAGCAAATGAAAAGAAAACCACGTCATTTGAATCAGCCAAGAAGGAACATGGTAACCAAGCAACCGATGACGTCACATCCGCTTAAAAGATGCCCAACAATACCCTCGAATGATATGCTGTATGGGCTTTGCCACTCTCGGCGAGCAGGAAAGAAACTTGGCTCGAGTTAATCAATTTTGCATGATAGACATAAAAAGATTATAACAACGTTTCTCCGTTAAACGAGTTTTGAGAAAAAAGATTTAACCTGACGTTTGATCTGCAGCGGGAGAGGGATTAATGCAAATATATCGTAGTGATGTAGCGATACCTGGGCCGACTTCAAAGGTATCGTATGAGGTCAATTTGATGAAAGTAGCCTAGAAACTAATTGTAAGTTGCCTGCATGGCGAAGACACCCTTCAGGTAATCAGGGATCGGGCAGGCTATTAATTTCTTCGCTTAATTCCAGGTGAGTTGGAGGGATGAGGACTTATTCTTGGGTAATTACATCAAGGGGAAGCGACTGCGATTACAAATACTTTGAAACATGTATATGCGATCAATTTCTCAGATAAAAACAGCTCCAAAGAAAGCGAGATCAGCTGTAATTATGCCGTTCATCAGAGAAAATGTTTCCAATAAGTCCATTCGCTGCCTTTATTGTGTCTTTTTAGGTCTGTAATTAGAGAATGGGAAATTACTTACTCTGGTGGAGCCCTCAGATGTCACAGGACACAAATACGTCTCAAATATTTCAAAGACCTCAGTTAGAAACTCAGTTTTTTTTCGGTGACGGAATCCATGACGTCACAAACCACTGGCATGTTTTTGTCACTACAATGTGACAAAGTTCAATCGAACTACTGCCATCCGTGACAGTTGGGTCTCTTACACTTAGATGTACACGGGTGTGTGTTCCACAGCAGGAAGCGGGTACGGGTTCGAACCCCATTTTTTCCGTACATTCAACATCTGGAACAACGTACATCTTTAACGCACATGATAGTGTCTCGATAATATTTGTCATAGAAAGACAAATTATATAAATAACTGCCTAAGTTTCGAATCCGAGATTAATATACATTCATAAACAAATACATGGTTTTAGTGATTTTATTTTTGACGAATTATTCTGACTTTTCGGACTAGTTTGTCTAGTCTCTAAAACAGCTAATAGTGAGTGAGTATGGTTTTATGCCGCTTTTAGCAATATTCCAGCAATATCACGGCGGGGGACACCAGAAAAGGGCTTCACACATTGTACCCATGTGGGGAATCGAACCCGGGTCTTCGGCGTGATGAGCGAATGCTTTAACCACTACGCTACCCGACCTCCCCAATACAGCTAATAACTGACTAAATGGTGACAAATGTCTCTTAAACCAACCAAGACATTTTAGTTCTATCCGTTGGCTTGATAGTCAGGTAAGACGACATATATTTCCAATATAAACCTGTACTGAACCCTACCTTACAGAAAGAGGTTTGCATAAATTTCGTTTCGCATCGGCGCATTTTGGATGTACAAGTATTCCCATAAACCTTTAATCCAAATAGGAATAGATAGAAACGAAAGGATATGCAAAATGTGTAAGTTAAGATGTATCAAAGATGACAATCATTTATTTTCCTTCTGATTTGCCCCAAATACGATACTATCCGTCGTAAATATATGTATGTATACTGCCTAGTAACCCGTAACTTAGGTAAGTTTATAACATTAATGTCTACAGACCAACTCTATGTACAACGCTACTGACCAATGTTTGTCCACCATGCCTTGTTAAACAGAACAGAATGTACTTACAAGGTAGACACAACTTTATGGATTACAACTTCTTTAATACTGTAAAAAGCGACGTTTCGGTATAGATCCTTATACCGTTGTCAAGCAAGAGTGAATGAGGGTTGTTGTTGTTGTTGTTGTTGCATTAGGTGTTTAAGAGATCGCCTTCTGCCTAGGCAATTTCGGCTGACCTGTCCCTCTTTGGGAATGAGGGACTTAGTACAGAATATATATAGGAGAATAACAGTAAAGGATTAACAGTAACAACAACAATTGCATGTATGAGTGGTTCCCTCCCATAAAGTAGACCTCCAAAAAACTCCTCCTTTCTTGAATCTGCTCCCGGTACATCACAAATCTTATTCAAACATTACCTTTAAACAAGTTGTGGGATTTGTGTAAGAATATACCAAATGTTCTCAATCACTAATACTTCCTTCTCTACCCAGCTTTCTTTCTTGTTACATGGGTGATACCATTTTACTTAAGGGTACAGGGTACTAAATACTGATGCAACCAGCCATAACGAGTGTTGTTTTATTGTTTTAACGGGTCTGCGTTTTGGCAGGTCTACGTTTTTGGAAGATACGTATGAGTGGGATGACATAGGTAAGCTGTTGACAACAAGGGGATAATACTGTCACAACACGATGGACGGAGAACACACAGGTGGAAGCCAATGGGACATGAAGAATGTACTTAATAATCATCTGTATTAGTTACCGCAACTGAAGTGTATACTATAGGTCTATAGCCTTTCAACGAGTCACTTGAAGTGGTCCCCGAGGGTATTCCAGCTCAGACTGGACCCTGTGCACTCCATATTTCCTATAAAACCCGACTGAAGTGGATCGGGGCATAAGTTCGCCGACTGGTGTCAGATTGCGTGTCACGGTGACCTCATGGCGTGGGTTGTTGCTGATACTTTCAATCACTGGTTTGTCTGATTCAGATTCCAACATGTACGGGACGCCGTTATATTGCGAGAATCATTTAAATTCATATAATCCATGGACCAGTATGTACATTAAGTTTACTAATTAAGTTAAGAGGTTAATGTAGGGTATGGTCACGTAATTCCGATTAGACCCGCCGTGATATTGCTGGAATATTGCTAAAGGCGGCGTAAAACCATACTTACTCACTAGTTCCGAATAGGATAAAGGAAAATTATTGCTTGAGATCACAGTATTTAAAAACTATACAATACATGAATGATTGTTGAAGAAAAGATTGCGACAAGCATGCATAAAAACATCTAGTTTATTTAAATTGGGAAATTTTTTAAATCCGATTTTTACTTTTTAAGAAAACAATAAACATTCACAATTGAGAAATCTCTTTTACTTTTGACACGGAGATATTAGTTTAAAACTAACAATGTAAAAAATAACTGTTCTTCAACTTCATTTGTGTAATTCTATAAGTATATTTTATTATATTCTAGTTTAGCAATTCGCAATGTACACAAAGATATTGATAAAATAAAGTGCTACTCCGTTCATCTGGACAGTAAACGTTGCAAACGAAA